TTTAATAGTTGTAATCTAAATATTCAGGAGAATTGCATCTCGAAATGGGTTGCAAGGTCTAATGTTGGCCTCCTTTGCATGACGGAGTTGCCCTCCGCAAGACGTACTATTTGCGAGTTGGTAATTTATCAGTTAATGACATATTTGCGAGTTGGCAAGTTACCCGATGGGATTGTGATCCAGATCGCCCGGTTCTAGATTGAATCGCCCGATCGGATTCATACAATATCGGATTATTATTAATGAAAAATAAAACCACTATTACTACACTCTTGATGTATTTATTTTTAAAATTTGAATGAATTTATAAAATTATATAAGGTGTCCTTATATTTTTGGTGCTCCTATTAAAAAATATTACTTGGTATATCACTTTGGATTTTAATTTCTAAAAGTATCGGAAAAAAACACAAGACATGTCATCATTACTGGATTTAATGCATCAAACCCCTCGTGATTCTTTCTGAAAGTATTTTATCTTAAATGTTTATGGAAAGCGGCTAATAATACTCGTTTGTGGGTTTATGAATTTCAAAACTTAAAAGCCCCATAACTTCTTATATTTGGAAAGGTTTGGCCTTGATGATTACTTTATTTGACGGGTTTACTTCCCTAATTATATGTAGGTAGATTCTATGGTACCCCAAATGTACCGTACCTTTGTCCACATGGACCAATAAGAATAATGCAGTTGAATTATTTAAGAAAAAATGGCCCGGTTATACCTAATTGACTTTTGATTTCCATTTATATGAGGCTTTTGATATATTCTCAAAAAGTGACCCGCATCTTTCTTCATTCAACGGGCTCTGCTTTCCTTTCTTCATTCGACGCAAGGTCAGACCATTCGGCGACATCTTACGGTCCTGCATCTTCACAGCTCACAGCACCACCGCCGCGTCACGTACCACCACCGTCGTGCCGCATACCACCACCGTCGTGTCGTGCACCATCAAAGCATCACCGCGTCGCACACTAGCACCGCACCGACGCGTTGCGCACCACCACATGGCGGACAAACTACAATGGCGGCGGCGACCATCGTGCTGCTGATGCTTCCATATCTCATCTTCTACCCATTTCTTTGTCGATCCAGATCTCGATTTGTTGATCTAGATCTCGATTTGATTGTGGAATGCGGAAATGGTGGGCGGTGGCTGTTAGGGTTGGTCTGGGGTGTGGTTGGGCTGTGGTGTAATCGCCGGCCGGAGTGGTCGTGGCGGAGGTGGTTCAGTGGCAGGGGCGGGGGGCAGAGTCTTAGGACTGGGGCGGGGTGTGGTGGGGATGGGGTTTGGTGGAGTTGAGGCTGGGTGTGGTGCAGGAATGGGGTGTGGTGGGGTCGGGGTGCAGTGGACTAGGGCTGGGGCTTGGGTTGGGGTGCGGTGGCAGCCTTGCCGGCCAGGGTGGTTGGTTTGAGGTGCTACAATGGAAGGGGCGGACAACGTCGATGACTGGCCGGGGTAGTGACAGGTCGGGGCAGTGACTAGTCGGGGGGCGGCGGTAGTCACTGTGGCGCTTGAGTCACTGCCCGGAGGAGGCGGCAGTCACTGACCGGGGCGGCAGTCACTTTCCAGCGACTGTAGACACTGGCGGTGAGCGGGCAGTCTCTTTGCCCGGTGAGCAGGTAGTCACTGTGGCCGGTAACCGGTAGTCATTATGGCCAGTAGGAGAGAGTCACTGTGACGGCAGTCATTGTGGCCGGAGTCACTGAGATAGTGACTGCCGGCGGCGGTGCCGGTGACGGCGGCAGTGCCGGTGACGGTGAGGGCGGGCGGCGGTGGCGGTGGAGGCGGCGGTGATGGTGGCAGTGGCGGCGGCGTTGGTGCTGGGGTTGGCGGTCCGGAGGTGCTGGTGGCTACAAATGTATAAAAGGAATACTAAAAAAATAAATATATGATTAAGTATAAGGAATAAATGACTTTTAGTCACTTTTTTGGAAAAATTTAAAACATGTCACTTTTTTATCTTTTTCATTCATTTTAGTAATATTGGAATAAAAAGGCCATTATTTAAATCTAAATTATAAAGCATATAATGATTTGGACCAATCAAATTCATGATAGGTACAGTACCCCATTTTTTAAATAGGTACCGGAGTTGTCACCCTACTTTCTGGAACTGGAATTAGACCAACCAACTTTGGAAGGTTGAAAAGTGATGAGGTTTTACGAGCTCAAATGACAATTAGGGAAGCGTCTTCACTCTTCACACCCTACTTTCTTTAATGATATTATAAGCATGATCTGCCTGTTTACATTAATAATCATATCATGATTCATGAGCATCTGGCATCATTTTTTGACTAATAGTGACATTTTGGAGTTTGGACTCTCACCGTCTCACTCCCTCAGAATTCTACTCTTTTAAGAGTGCTTATAATGAAATACTCCCTCCTTCCCAAAATTATCTTCATAGTTACTATTCGCATGGTCAACTCAAATTACTCTTAATCTTTTACTTTATATATCAATTTTTTATCAAACTTAAATTTTCTTGATCAGGCTTTGTAGCGGTTTTAATGTAGTTTCTGAATATGTAAATTTTATTTACTAAAAATAATCCAAGTGTGAACAGGGATCGAATTGTTTTATCGTCAGTCAAACATCGTAAATATGGGACCGAGGTAGTAAGATGTAAATGTGCTTCTGACAACACAGTTAAACACATTTGGAATAGAAATATTCCAAAGAAAATTTCCTTTTTCATATGGAAGGTTCGTTGCCAATTTGCCAATAATGGTTCCTTCAAATTTCTCTTTTGCAGATTTTGATACTATAAATCATTATTACTTAGTATGCAACTTCAGCTACAAATTTTGATCAAACAATAGAAATACTTTCAAGATCGTGTGAATTTCAAAATCTTCAATGTCATTGAGGATAATCTTTATAAGGAGATTAGAGATGCTAATAGAGCCAAAACTTTTGTCACTGATGACATTAACCCTTCAATGATTAATTTTAATTGCACAAAACCTCTTTTGAAAAACAGAACTCATAATTTTCGGTTGATAGGTGAACCAAACCTCCCAATAATTTTATCAAATTAAAATCTCGTCAATGATAATTATAAGAATGATATCATGAATTCCGGCTTAATTATCCGGAATGTCAATGGTCACTTTCTCCACTATCAAGCTAACACCCATTCCACTTCGAACTAGACTGTTATTAGGTGTCATATCTTGATCACCTAACAAAACTTTGTAATATTATACTTTTTGAAATATACTCGAATATTACAAGTTATCGGCCTCGGTAGAAAGCTCAGTCAAACTATCAAGCTTTTAAAGAGAACTTTAAGAATGTCAACCTAAATGTTTCTTGTATTGAAAAACTCTAGTAAAGTGGCAAAACTTATTTTAATTTACTCCATGTTTGGTAGCAGCTCGGTTATATATAACACATTCACGGGAATTATAAAATTAGGTAGGTTTTTTTGTATACCTTCCTACCCTGTAATTTTGAACTTTTTGATAAACATGTAAGGTGATCCCTAGCGCACATTATACAGAATAACATCGCCATTAAAAAAGAAAGGGGAAAATAAATAAAATATCCTAAACTTTGTATTGGTGTGATATCCTCACCCCCAAACTTGTCCACATTGTATAAATATCTCATACTTTGTAAAATTGAAATGTTTATGCCCCATGTTCTACTAAATCATCAAAGAAAGTACACATTTTTTTGGGAATCATGCATCTTTTTGTCCCAACTAAATCTATTTCACATGTTTTAATTTGAGAAATATTATTTGTTAACTAAAATATGGTACAAAAAAATTAAATAAATAAAGTTAGGGGTATTTTTTAAACTAGGACAAGTACGGGGTGGGGAAATCACACCAAGGCAAAGTTCGGGGTATATTACTTATTTTCCCCAAAAAGAAAATATGTGTAATTATTTCATAAACAAATGGAAGATTCAACAAAGGTATTTCAAATTTCAATTTGTCATCTATGGTGACATGGTGTTGATACAATGAATGGTGCATGCACATCCTTTCCAAATCCTGACATACTCCCAATCCAGTAATTAAGCCTAATAATATTGTTCATTCACTAATTATCCGAATCTAAAGTTCAAAATAAGTGTTACTATATAATATTATAATTATGATTTAATAATAAACCACCTAGAGAAATTTCTAGAGCTCATTTGGCAACACTGCAATTGACTAAATCGGATGATTCAATTGAAATTTCTGAAATTCAGGCTAAAATATCCAGATTAGCTGAGGCCCAAGGTTTAATGGAAGTTAAGGGGAATAGAGTATTTAAAAGTGTATTAAAAATTAAAAAGGCCAGGACCGGACTGGAACGGTCAGGACCAAAACCAACCGGGAACCGGAATTATAGGCCCCGGTCCTCCATTTTTCAAAATGCCTAAATGTACATTTTGAGGGAGCATGATTAGAACATTTTGAGGCAACCATCATAGGGACAAATTAGGACAACCATAAATGCCACCACTTTGGGTACAAGTGGACAACTAGGGGTGGACCAGTTCCGGGCCGGATTTGTTCAATTTTTTTTGCCTTTGCTTTTCTAATTAACCCCCTCCCCCCCCCCCACCCCCCCCCCCCCAAAACACCCCTCTCAACCCGGGAAAAACAAAAAAAAAAACTTAAAAAAAAGGCCTGGATCAGTTCCTATTTTCGATGAACCGAGCCCGCTCTTAGCAACACCCGGTTCGTGTCGGCCCAACCCAATCCAGGGCCCGTTCGCCGGGCCGGGCCGATTTCAAACAGTGCCGGGCCAGGCCGATTTCAAACAGTGTCGGGCCAGGCCACACGCCAGTCAGCCCGGAACCAGTCCATCCCTAGGGACAACGTGTAATTGGGTGATCATGCTTAGGATTAAATTTTGGAAGGGCAAAAATTTGATTAGTTTTTCAAGAATGGAGTAATCTTGGTTTAACTAGATACTCATTAGAATCCAAGACTTGTCTAATGATTAGGTTGAGGATTAATAGGGTACGTGCAGGATTTTCATTGCAATGAGAACAAATGGTGAGGATACTAAAGCGTATGAAAACGCTGTGCTAATTTCTGTAATCATATTGTTAGACTAGTAACAGTTGAGAGTATCAAATAACGGATACAGCATCTACATTAAAATCCACATTAGAATGATGGTAAAAATATTAATCCCTTTTAAAATTGGATAAACTTGACGACTACAGGTAAAAACACTACCCGGTTACATTATTTACACCCAAGTACATCGGAAGGCTAATGTTGAGGAAGTGGTGGTCTCTTTTCCACCATTTCGTAATGCAGCACAAAATTATCCTGCATTAATTTGTTTGGAAAAATGCAATAACAGCCTTCAGGATTTTGAGTATATAGTACTCTCTACTGAAGAAAATAGTTGGAACTACAAAAAATACCTTACGGACAGTTTCCCATGTGTTGGGGTCAAAACAAATATATGAACCTCTCTCATATGTAGCAGTCTTAACAAGAAGCTCCACGTTACTAAATCTCATAAACCACAACCGATGCTCCCTATGATAAAACCAGTTTCGGTTGTACCTACAAAAAACGGCAGTCATAAAATGAAACACTCTTGCAACAGAAAATGCAAGAATTGAGATTACTCAGAGAGAACATACAATTCATTGGCCGCATATAGCTGTGCCTCATCTTTTGGCATACTGCAACAACAATAAGATATCTTTGTTAGGTAATACTACGTACTGATTTTAAGCTAGGAGAAATATGTTGAGGTCCCTTCATCCCATCATGTTTGTTTAGGTACTATTTTAATGTTCTATCAATGTACATCTTTTCAAATTTAGAAGATTCTACTTATATTTAAAATTCTCTTCATGATTTAGCTAAATTTATCATATTGAACTTGTTTGTAACATTTACAGAGAATAACAAAAAACTGAAGCAGCACTCGCTCTGTTTTTGGACGGAGGGACTAGTTTAATATTTTTATACAGAAACTTGCCTATAAAATATATAGAATAACGTATCCAGCTGAAACTTTGTGAAGTATGCTTGCTGCATCCAACAACAATAAAACAGGAAACATATTATAAGGGGAAAGGGTTGAAAGAATGAGTTGTACGAGAAATAGATAAAGAGAGCTAACATTTAGTGGTGGTGGTTGTTTGGCGTAATAACATTGAGGGACATTGAACTCCGGGTCACCCTTGGTGGGCTCATCCGACCATGGTGAACCAAATGTTTTGTGCAGATTATCAGCTGAGTTCAAGTTCAACCCGAGTGTGGTTAGATCAATCCCAAGTGCAAGGGAAGTGAGGTTGGGATCACTCATTCTTATCACACTTAACAAACCAAGCAAGCCATATGGATCTGGAGCAACTAAGGGTTTCATGCCCTGGTCACCCCTATAGGGCTGACCTGCAGCAGACATCTGTTGTTGCATTCGGTATTGGTGGGGTTGACTCTGCTGCTGATATTGCTGGATTAGCTGCTCATATGAAGACCCAATACCAGAGGCAGAATTTGGGGAGTTAAGAGGTCGTAATCCTAGGCCAGAGGACACAACCGCCTGAGAAACCCCACAAAGTAGATGTATATCAAAAAAATGCAACGTACATTATCATAAAAAAAATGAGCACAACAAGCATACATATCAAGGATCTATTCGGATGGAGGGTTTTGATGGTTTTGCTTATACGTCAGTATATATTTGGGATTACTAAAAACTGAAAATGAGTGGAATAAGGGAATAAGCAGACATATCATATACGTAGCAAAATATAATCCCTTCGTCCCAAAAAAAGTTGCATCCTTCCCTTTTGGGCTGTCCCAAAATAAAAGTTACGCTTCCTTTTTAGCAAATAATTCTACATGCAGTTCATAAATAACCCATCTTTTTACTTAAAACTACATTTTTACCATTCCAACTTCACACATTTTTTTGTGCTACTGGGGTAGTTTAGATTTTTGGGATTAAGGCTTTGATGTTGTTGTTTGGGTAATTTAGATTTTTGTCCCATTTTATTAATCTATGTGCCCAAAAGTTTTGCAACTTTTTTTGGGAAAGATGGAGCATAGACTAAGCCCTCAACAGCTTTTCCCACAAAAAACAATCAACACAAACAAACCCTATAATAGGGGAAATGTGGTGTGCACCTGCTGGTGATACGTTGAGTGTGATGGTTGAAAGACATCTGAGCCGTGTGAGTGGAGTAGATCTTGATTGTTCACGTTTGGAAATGACAAACCACTACTGCTCACTACTGATGAATGCTGCTGTGGGCGATGTGATGAATATGTTCCTCCTAAGTTAAAACTACCAGATCTTCCCATCTACAAATTTTTTAACCACTCGTCATGAAAGCAGATATAATAAAGAAGCGGTTTAAAACTAAAAAGGATGATAACAAAATCCGATATATTGCACTCACAGAAAAATGTTGTTGCATCATAGGCACAGAATTGTCATGAAGTTGTTCTTTTTGGTGTAGATCCATTGCATAATCAGTATTACCACCTGAGAAATCCATAGTCAATAATACAGTTAACTTTTTTTAAATACCACTCCCTCCGCCCCTTTTAATCTACCCACTTCATGACAGAATTTTCATGAAGTTGTTCTTATTGGTGTAGATCCATAGCATAATCAGTACTACCACCTGAAAAATCCATAATCAATAATACAGTTAACTTTTTTAGAAAACCACTCCCTGTGCCCCTTTCAATCCACCCTCTTTCTGTTAATTTTGGTAGTCTTTCAGTAATGTTTTGCCTAATGTTTGAAATTGTTTTTTGATAAAAAAATTCAGCACCGAGTTTGTATTTGGTTTTGATTTTCTTTAAATCCCTGTGAAGTCAAATTGGGTGATTCTAACCATCTCCCAGCACATTTTTGCATAGATCAAGGAATGGAAGAAATTGGGAGTAAATCTAGAAACAAAATCCCCCCCTCTCGTCCCAAAAAAAAAAAAGATATACAGCACGCAGAAGTGGCAAAATTTAGATACCACATAACTGAAACGTAGCCATTAATATATACTTCATCCATTCTTTTCTAGTTGCAAAGTTCCAATTTTAACGTTTTCCAACGCACAAATTTGACAATTGATATATTTCATTCCTTACTAGTAAAAAGATTTAAAAATTCAGATTCTGAAATTTTGAAATAAAAGGAATTTAACAATATTTTTCAAAAAATAAATTTACAATACATTAATAAATAAAAAGGAGTCAGTGTAGAGCATGTGAATAGTGTAAAAGTCAACAATGTATAAATTTGGACGCTTCACATATCAACATATTTTTGAAAAAATGTTAAATTCCTTTCATTTTAAATTTTCAGAATCTGAATTTTTTATTTTTCAAACTATTGTTAATATACTTCCTCCATTCTTTTCTAGTTGCAACGTTCCAATTTTCAAGTTTGCCAGAGCACAAGTTTGGCCATTGATATATTTCATTCCTTATTAGTAAAAATATTAAAAAATTCAGATTCTGAAAATTTAAAATGAAACGAATTTCACAAGATTTTTCAAAAATTAAATTTATAATACATCATGAATAAAATGTAGTCAAAGTAGCATGTGAATAGTGTAAAATTCAACAATGTATAGACTTGGAAAGTTCACAAATCATCTGTGTTAACATACTAGGAGAATCCATGAATGGAATAATAAATAAATAGCACACACCCTTAAATCCTGGTAAAGCTGGAAAATCTTCATTTTGAATGCTGAACTCTTGATTTTGCTGAACAATTGGACCAAGGCCTTGTTTTCGCAATGAACCTGGAAGTGATCATCCCAAACACAAGATTAGGAATTGAAAAGAATATTATTGATACAGAAACTTGAACCAGATGTACACCAGGAAATTGCCTAAATTTCATGTCAAGGAAAAGAAAAAACTAAAAAAGACAACTACCTATTTGTCCTTGCGGACCTCCAGCAGAACTAGGACGGCTGGATAGTTGAGGGAAGTCATTGATATCAAAAGGGGCACCGTCATTTGAATTTATATCATTTAACATTCCCATAGAATTAAGATTGTTGACTGCTTGCATATGATTTTGAGAAAGTGGGCCACCAGCAGAAGGGTACGAGTTTCCTAACATGGACATCACCTGTGGAGAAGCTGTGGAGAAAATGCTACCATTGTTAGATTTAACGATGAACCAGCCAAAAAGAGAAATTGTGTCACAGGCATGTTTATCTGACATTGCATATAGCTATCAAAGTTGTAGGCTTGTAGCATCACAGAAAAATACATGTCAACACAACCTAAATAATCAAGCAACCATTGAAACAATATAGGTAGCTGTTAAAAACCTAGTGAAAATGCCAAAGGTTACTGTTCCAAAATTATAGTGAAACATCAATTTTTAGAGTACATTTGGACCCCAGAAAATGATATTGACATGAAAAACAGACCAAGGAAAGCCGTTCTCTTATGTGGAGGCAAACGGATATGAGTAATTGCATAAGTCTTTTCCAAATATTTGGATTTGGGGTCTACATACTTTCAAAATAAATAGATGAATATTAACAAATATTTAAAAATTATCGAGCTTAGGATGTCATTAATTTTCAAATACGTTCTCTTTCCTTCCAATTTCATCTAAGTTATCTTCCCTATTTTGTATATGAAATAATCTCTGAGGCCTAAATGGACCCTGAGTGACTTGAGAAATGTCCATATTGGCATTTATAAACTACCACAAGGGAATATATATATGGCTTGCTTGAATTGCCATGACAAAATCATTTTCAGATATTTACCTTGTTGAAGAGAGCCACTCATGAGCCTATTCTGTCCTTGAATGTTCAAATTTCCAGAACCACTACTGGCACTCAAATTCAAACGAGAACCAATCCCTGGCACTGACAGTACACCAGAGCTAATATTTCTTCCCATATTACCCCCACCAACTATGTTTCCAACTGAGCTTGTCATCCTAGGCACTGGGGATACACCAATTCCGGGAACAGAAGTTCGATTACCAATAGCAGCTGAGGTTGGAAGGATTCCAGGAATGGAACCACCAACTCCATTTGTGTTACTGTTATACCCTGTGTTACTCACAACACTCAAACCACCTCTGTTTGTCATCCCTGTATGAGCATGTGAAGTTCCATGAGATATCTGCACACCAGTGACAAAAGGAAAATAAGGAACCTTTAGCAGTACATATTTCAAAAACCAGCATTAAAATGCTTTCTGAGACCAAGCAAAGTATCATCCATAACAATATCTTCCCATCTCATAAAATTATAGTAAAGAGCTGACCAGAACTGCCACATTAATTAACACTAAATTGGCATATTCTGCTTATTAACAAAATATCAATAATAAGCCAAATAAGTAGGCATTTAACTTATTTGGCTGGAAGCCATTTCACTAAAAGCTTTTCTTTTCAGAAATATCAACAGATTCAGCCATACCAAATGGCCACTTATTTTGACAAGTTTAAGCACATTCACTCTGATGCTTTAAACAACCTCCAAGTCGATACGAAAAAATACCTGTTGTGAAAGGCCAACTGGGAGATTGTTTGATGTAAAACGGCCACTAGAAAGATTGTTCCCAGACTGCTGAACATTGCTTGAAGGGATGTTTATGCCAGTGCTCCTTGATCCAAGTGTACCTTGCATGCTGGGAAGGTTGAAACTCCCATGAATATTGTGCAGCCCCTGCACACTTCCTGTAAAAGAAAATCACTACTTACTGGCTTTAAAAAGCATAGAAAAGAACATAATCCAGCAATTAACTGACCCGAATGATGATAAGCAGGGGATGCTGCACCAGACTGACCAGAGAATGACGTATAAGAGCGACCAGAATTGTCCGAGAGGTTTGGAGTAGATCCGTTCAAAGATGACTACAACAAAGTAAAATAAGTCAAACTTCAACCCAATATTGTATGAAATCAAATAAATTGTTTTCTCACCATCAAGGGAAATAAATGGATATAAACTTTACTGCATGTAGAATTAAAAAAATGTGTCTCAGTTATATCACAAATATTCCTGGTAAAGCACATCCTCACACTTTCCAAATTATAAAGGACTTTTTGGGTTACAAGGCTTGACTAAAGTCAATTACAATCAGATTTTTTAAAATTATAATTTAGTATGAGTCATTACAATTCACATCTTTGAAAATGACACCAAAAGTTCTATAAACAGGTTGTTTTAATATGACGTAATCTGTTTCTGAATATTTGAAGGGACAGACAAAATAGGCCTTCTTGCCTAGGATTCAAGAGATAAATGTACACTACAATCTAAGAATAAGATTATATAACCATTTCATTAATTGAACTACAGTTTAACAATGCGAAGCTGTACTAATAACCACCCTTATGCCTCAAGGAAGTTTGACCCTAACAAAAGAAATGTGCATTGAGTGCATAGATTTATTTATAATCTTTATTATAATCTTTATTTATTTACATTCGGAAAATGGCAAGGAAAAGCAACCCTAATGATACGACACTGCATAGATATAGCAATCTAGAAGGAACAATACATTAAGCAACCCTGACATTGCAGAAATGTCAAGAAGGCATGCAGAACTTTTCCCTGGTGGAGCAGCAAGTTTTCTTCACTTTTCTTCTGAAAGGATTTTTGATACTTCGGGAGCCTTTTCAATGTGCAATTACCTATAATGCAGTAGGATGGTGTAATTGGAAAGCGCAACTGATCAAGAAGATTTATAAATAGTAAAATGATTGGAACAGCATGACAATAAATGCCTAGAAATCACATTCTAACAAGCAACTAGAAATAAATTGAGACACAGAGAAGTAAGGAATATAGATAAGCACACATATGAATTAAAAGAACAGCATAGACACAAGTCAATGCATCCAGAGTGGTAAATCATACCATATTACACAGTATATAAAAATATAATGTTTATATTCAACTAAACAAAAAAAATCAATATAATTACACATAAAGAGGTTTGTTTGAGTGTGTAACCTGTAGTAGTGTGTGTACTAGAAAGTGGACAAGTTTTGGGGGGAATTTTTTACTTCTGCCGAATAAAATGGATATCGGGCAGGTTACATTGTAAAACTTTACAGTTGTTTTGGAAACTTCGTTCGTCACTTCATTTTTCAAAAGACGACTCCTTACTGATCTACACAACACTCTTGCGGGAAGTGGAATGCGATCGAAATACACATGAGCTATAAGCATCCAACGAGAACAGCAAAAACGTCTAAAATGATATAATTACAAATTACAGATCTAGTAGATGAACCGTTGTGAAAATGGGGTTAGATAATTTTCTACATAATACACTTCATCCTAAACATGGATCTGTGTAGCAGAGGTTTAGTGTTCTTACCGTTGAGATATGTGCGCACGTCGGAATAGCGTCCGTCGCCGGGGATGCATAGACGGAAGCGAATGAAAAACTGAACCAGCGATTAGAGTTGCTGCTGCTAAAGTCGCAAGTGTCGCCGCACAGTCCAGACGACTCTCCGTTTAGTACTGCGGGATGACTGAATCACTACAGAATTCTTGGGGAAGGGGGTTCGGGAATGGGCTATAGTGGAGAACCGGAAATTAAAGATGGGAAGTGCCGGGAGAGAAGTGATATGATTTAGGGTTGGGGAAATGTAAACGGGGGTCAGGGAATTAGGGCCCGGGAACAAACAACGAAATCTGAATCCCAAAAGATAAAAAAAGATAAATATTGAATGTCAAAATTGAACTAAATTAGTAAATTGTCATCGTTTGATTTAATTTGATTTAGTTTCAGTTTTTTAGTTTTTTCTAAAATTGGTGAGGTAAATATCGAGAAACATTTTCCGTATTTTATTAACGTTCAAAATGAAGTAGAAAAAGTGAGGGGATTACACCAACACCTAAAAAGATAAAGGGTATTTTCTCAAAATATAATGAGAATTCCATTACAATGATTTGAGATAGTAAATATTTCCTCCGATTCAAAAACAAGCTCCACCTTTCCTTTTCGGGCAGTTCCAAAATTAAGTTCCACTTTCAAACTTTTCCTTATTTGGCAAATTTTATCTACATCAGAACAGTTTCAAACAGTGTCAAACAGTGTCCAAACGGTGCACTCCACAGTAAGTCAAGTTTCTTTTCATAACATGTGTGAAGTCTTGAATCGTCTTTGTCAATTCTCTAGAGCAACCATCGCCTGAACCCACCTTAATCGAACTAATAACTTCTAGAGTATAAATTTTGTTTCTTAATCATTGAGCATTAACTCTAGTATGATGTGTTAGTCTTTAGATTTCTAGACCTAAAAGGGAGATTTGCAATTTTAATCATGTAACTTTTGGATATTTTCATTATTAGTCTCATAACTTTAGTCACTTGTAAGGTTGGTCTTGTAAATAAAAAAGTTTTTATATTTAAGGATTTTCCCTTGAAAAAGTACACTTTCCCACAGAAAATCCAATGCAGGCAGAATATTTTCTGGTATATTTTTGTCAAGAGTGGGAGTACCAGCGCATGGGATTCCTCATTGTCCGGTAGGGTACATTTAATATGTCAACCGCTTCTTCAGTGATCGCATTGGAGCTCTTGCAACATGGATTAATCACTGGCATAATAGACCACGGAGACCCTCGAATTTCCCTTCCGACTAATTCAGATGCAGAGCAATGAATGGGAATGGCAATCGGGGAAATACTATTGGATCAACTTTGCCTACTCATAGTTTATTGTTGGATGTTATCTAGATTAATTTGATGGGGCATTAATCAAGCCATTGAAAAATCGTAAGTTGGAGCATTTTCAAAATAGTGGTTAGGCACAGGGCGGAGTAAATAAGGGGGGGACCCCGGTCTCCTTAAGTCGATCATAAAAGACTTGCCTTTAAAAAAAAACTTGTCCCTCAACAATCCCCGAAAAAGCTCTTGAGCCTCCAAGTGAATCCATCTTCATATGTGATTTTGTGAGCAGTAAGATTCGTACTCCCAATTTATTTCTCCTTTGTCCTTTCTTCATTCGAGGCAATAATTTTCAAACTTTTCAATTGATTGATATAGTTTTTTTTGTGATGCTGAAAAAAACTCTGATCGTGAGCTCTCATTCTCCCTTTACCTCTAAAAGAAAATCAGACTTGGTAATATCTCTCCTCATAATTTATTTTTGTCTTTATCTTTAATTACCTTGCTTTATATCTAGAATAGTTAAGCTCGTTCAACTCAAAAACTTCAGGCAAGAAACAATACAAATCCAAAAGAATCGGTTTCCCTTGAATAAATTTATGGGTTAAATTTTCTAAACTAAAAAGAGAGATTCCTTTCAAATCGAATTGGAGTGTACTGAAACTTTCATCTTTGAGAAAAAGGACTTGGTTTGGCCCACAAATTTTCCCCTATGTTAAGTAATACAATGGGGCTAAAGGTCATAGTAGAAGCAGCGGCTAAGTTTTTAAACAATAGAATGAATAACCATAAAATTAACATATACACTATATGGATACAATGCATAATAAAGTTTAGCAAATCAATCGTGGATTTGAGTCCGTGATAAAGTTTTCTCTCCATTTGGAAATTGGCAATGCTAGTAAACGAAATATTGGTTGGTTATATGGATATGGTAATAATAATATATATTTTAATAAAAACAAGTTTATGTTTCAAGTTGTGTGGCGAGAGAAGGTTAGTATTCTACAGGTAAATCTATTATAATCTAAAAGTAAAATGTTTTGGGGGTTGCATTTCGCTCAAAACTGTCAACGTCAAGAGAAATATCAATAAAGATCAAATAAAGAAGTCAAAAATAATAAAATTGTTGGACTACAAATTCCCCAAATCTATTAATCTATTCATTAATACTCTGTATATAAAACTCTAAAAGTGCTCTACGCCAAAAGCAATACATTGATACAGTACTGTTTTCAATTTGACGGGACATGTAGAACGATCTTGATAATACATGCTCATACTTCAGACATGCATTTGATGGGGGTACATGAGGCATTTTTACTTAATTATAACCTGTACGTTGCACGGGAAAACATTTCATTGAGAATGTAAATAGAACTATAATTTAAACATTTGAAGTATAGAATTTAACATCTAAGGAATGACATATGAAAAAACCTATAAATTGTTATACATTTCTTTGTAAACAACATTTATAGCAATATTGTTTGGTTGACCATCATCGTCACATATGACAAATTTTAACCTTGGTGGACTTGTAACTCTCGATACCGCAACATATAATTGTCTGTGAGTAAAAATCGAACGCCGCAAGAATACACCAACCCTTTCTAACGATTGTCCTTAACTCTTATTAATCTTCATCGCATAACTAACCATAAGAGGAAATTGTCTGTGCTGAAACGTGAAAGGGAGCTTCAAGTCCGTATGCATTAAACTAAGACGAGGAATAAGACACTTTTCACCGGCTTTTGATCCTGACATCATTTGAGTCTCAATAATATGAGTCCCGATTTTAGTTACCATGAGTCTCGTACCATTGCATAACCCAACACTGTGATCCATGTTTCTCATAAGCATCACAGACACAACCACCTTAAGCTTGAGTTCATGTCTTGAAGGAGCTCGTTGTCTGAGTCGGAGGAAGATATTGAATCGCAACTTAAGTATGTCCTTCCCTCGCCTAGAATGAGCCCCAACATGTAATCATTGATCTTGTCTCGCTCATCAATCGTAGGCGCAAGAATGGCCTAGAGTTCAAATATGTCTTCCCTATGAGTCAAGAAATCTGGATACTATATTAACAATAGACTCAACGGGATCATCTATCATTGGAGCAAGAAATTCGGCAGGTATGTGGAGTTTTGATCCCTATCCTCATTGTCTCCCAAAATATCACCGCTTATCTTCAAAATCCAATCTGCAAGACGCTCTATGTCTGTTGCGCTGGATGATTATGTCATGTGTGCAAGCCTCGTGTTCCTTGTCAGTTTCAACACCCTACAATATGACCACAAATACGATGAATTTAAAGATGCTTGGACAATATCTTACCTCGTGCCTTTTGGAATGATCGGCAATATCTGTTGGAAGTCCCCGCCAATACAATAGTTTTTCCACCGAAAGGCACAACAACATCACACTCCGGCGAGAAGCGAAGGACATCTCTCATAGTGTGTTCTAGAGCTTCAAAACATTGCTTATGCGTCATTAGAGACTCATCCCAAATAATTAGTCTTGTCTGTTCAAGAAGTCTAACCAATGGATTAGCGTGTTTTATGTTGCACATTGAGTCCATTGTCACATTAAGTGGAATAGCAAACCTCGAGTGTGGTCCTTCCTCCGGGCAGAAGGAGTGACGCAATACCGCTGGATGCCACATTCAATACTATTTCTCCTCGTGGTCTAATTGCCGCAGACAAAGTCCTCCGTAAATATGTCTTTCCCATGCATCTCTGAATTAAATCCATCTTATCTAGGGTTGCAGTATCTGCTTCTCTTTCCTTATGGCCAGGACGGTTTGAGAGAAAACGTGGTGTTGACTTGTGCAACTGAAGGGATCACTGGAGGGAGAAAACATGCTACTATGAGAGAGTACTTTTCATATATATTTCAGGATCACATGGTTGGGACCCCATATATATTGTGAACAAAGAGATTGTTCCAACAACTTGTGGTTGACGGTTATGCGATGATTGAGTCGTGCCGCTTGCGGTATATTAGACAACATCAAAAGGAGTTGCAGAGTGATCTATATAGTGAACGGGGAGAGACAAATGCATTGAGGACAGATCAACTCATTGTTCTTGCGAATTCATTTACTGGGAGTTCACGTTACATGTTGCAGAATTATCAAGATGTTATGGCTATATGCATATGGGCTGAATATCCACAATTGTTTATGACATTCACATGTAACTGAAAGTGGCCAGAAATTCTCCGTTTTGTGGAACCAAAAGGACTGAGTCCTGATGATAGACTTGATATACTTTCAAGTATCTTTTCAAGTATATAAAGGCGATGATCGGATAACTGTTGCATTTTCAGAAGTTACTGACAGCACCAAACCACAAAAGATCAATGAGATCAAGATGTGCTATGACTGTCGATACATCTTTGTTTGTGAGGCTACATGGAGAAGTTTTTCATACCATATCCATTGCAGGGATGTTCTGGTTGAGCGGTTAAGCTTTCATCTGCCAGGAGAGCAAAATGTACACTACAAACCTGATGCATCCATTGAGTCGGTACTCGGTAACACCACTCTTCACTTTACGAAGTTTGTAGCTTGGATGAGAGCAAATCAAATTTATCAGGAGGCCAGGGAGTTGGCATGCGTTGACTTTCCATCTAAGTTCACATAGAATTAAAAGAAAAGGGAGTGGTCACCACGGAAGAGGGGTTTGCGGTTGGGCGTGTGTTCTTTGTGCATCCCGTAGCAGGTGAGAAATACTACTTGAGAGTTCTGTTGAATGTAGTAAGAGGGCCAAAAAGTTATGAAGAGTTGCGAACCATGGGTGGAAAGATATATACACTACTATTTTCAATTTGTCGAGACATGTACAACGATCTTTATAATACATGCACATGTTTCGACATGCTTCTGTTTCTAGGCAACCAAAATTTCGAATGCAATGTTTGGCTATAAAAGCATACTTCTATTGAATCATTCATTTTCTTGCCGCTCCCCAAA